CATCCATCCATCCATCCATCCATCCATCCATCCATCCATCCATCCATCCATCCATCCATCCATATATCTACCTCCCTAGCTACCATCTTTCTACTCATGCATCTCCAATTTCTAGATTTTCCAACCCCAAAAATAATTCTGGGTGGCTTTGCAAACATAACAATAGAGAAAATTACACACCCTGGCCCAATCACTCCAAGGGAATAATGGGAATAATCCTCAATCAAGAAAGATCTACCATCTAGATTGGCCTGAAGGAGAAGACATATTTCTAGGGCTTACTTTAAAGCAGATATGGTGGACACTAAACAAATATTTGTGGAGATGCCATTCCAAAGGACAGGCACCGTCACAGGGAAAGGCAACTTTTAGGTCTATCTAGATGACATGGCTTAACTGTCAGGATTCAAAACAAGGAAAATCAAACATCTCTCAAGTACCTAGAGTCTATGCCATACAAACATTAGGTAGATTCAAAATATTGTAAACCTCTCTGTGAAGTTCTGCTGCACTTCATTATAAAGTTGTTTTAATGGACTTAAGCCATTTAAAACTCACTGAACTGAACAGTGCTTTATTTCTAAATAGACATGTTTACGAGTTCACTTTAATGTCAGAAGTTTTACTTTCATATGAGGTTCAAGGAGGTGTAATCTTAGAAATAAATGTTCTTAACACTGCTTTCTTAATATGATTATAACTGACTGTATTAGTTCAATTGAACTCGATATAATTAAGTTGAAAGTTAAATTTTGAATTACAGAAATACAAGAATTACATTTTATAGTGTAAAAATAATGATCTGTTGGTGACGAGTAGCCCTCAAACTGCTATCCCTATGCAGATTTACCTGGGCAGAAACAGAACTTCATACACTGAGATCTGCTTCTGAGAAAACAGTTTCCCATTTCTTGATTATAAGCTCGGTGGTCCCTAACAACACACAGTTTTATCACATAGAATTTTATAAGAATTACTAAGATAATGTATGTGAAGTCATAAGGAAATGCATGCAGAGTATCAAATGCTAAATTATCAGTTTATTGCCTGTTTATTGTTATTAGCCATAACCAATTTAACCTTTTGAAAGAGCATTTAGCATAAATGGCTGACTTTGGAACAAACACATACAAAGATTAAAATCTTCTTCAAGCTGGACTCAACATCTGAGGAATGTATGGACACATCTGTGTAGTTTACTTGACAGCAATATACAAGAGATTTGTCACTGCCTAGTTGGTCTTTTTTTTTTTTGTACTGCCCAAATCAATAGGTACAAAACGAGAAGACCAACACATCATTTTTGGTATCTCATAATAATATTCTGTTTGTAGGTGAAATGAAAGGGCTTAGTAAAATACAGATGAGAACTTGTATGCAAGACTAAAAGCTCTAAGAATAATCTAAAATAAATGTTATTCTTCTAAAGTTATTCCAGACATTTGATAATGTCTTTTGTGAGAAATAGCTACATTTATAATTAGAAAAAACACAAAACCCGGGAAACTATTTTAGTACCCCTTGTTTTGTTAAGGTTGCTGATTATTTCTTAGCAGGGTCTCTTTCATTTATTCATCCTGCTAATTTAAATCAGCAACTGGTTTAGTTTCATTGTCCATCCGTGCTTAAACATTTATTTATCTGGAACAAACACTGCACATGAGACTTGCAAATGGAAATAAAACTTTGAATATTTAGTGGAAAATCAGACTCATTTAAAGAGGAAAGTAACTTCAAGAGGCTGAAAAGTACAAGTTCCACTAGCATATAAGGGATTCTGACAGTATATGAAAAGACTAAGTGATAAAAGTAGAGTAACAAAATGAAATCAAACTGACTAATATGCCATGTACTAGTGCTTTTTATTCAGCAGAATATTGTTCTACCTAAGCTATAGAACTGAACCAATGGTGCAATTGAGCCGGTTCTATATGGTTCAGGCGAACCGGTAGCAGTGGCAGGGGAAGGCTCTGCTCACCCACCCGAATGTCATCATGTCCCATTTCTGATGTCCTGCGCATGCATTGAAAGTCCTGTGCATGCGTGGAGACAGCGTGTGCACTCACATTTGCGAACCGGTAGCAAAGGTAAGTTGATTTCACCCCTGGATTTGAAAAACTCGAGAGAAGCCCCTTTTAGGCCATAACAGAAAAAAATGCCTGCAGATAAGATGGAGGCATATCCTCAAACCTTGCCTTTCTTTGGGATGAGCAAGACCTTAAATGAGGTATGACTACATGTGACTAAATGCCTTAGCAGCCTTTGTAGAATGAGATTATGGGGATGACTATATACTGCAATTTAGCCAAATAGAATTATGCTTTCTTTGTTGATGTGAAAAAATTATGGATGATGAGACTGGGTTGTCATGATGTTTTTTTTGTTTTGCCAGTTGTGCTTATATTCTAAGACATATGGTAGGCTGACTCTTCTCTGTAAGCCTACTGAGCATGTTCGTTTTTTCCTCTTTCTGTTTCTGTTTGCCTGCCACGAAGAGGTAGGTAGGCTAGGAACTTTACCAGAATGTAGTTATTAGCCAGTAAGTTTGTTTGTTATTTATTTTACAATAAAAATGTGTTTTCTTAGAATCTATCTTGAGTTTATTTTACTTAATTATAAGGTATACTCCAAAGGAAAAACCACGATTCACCCCTCATCAAACACAGGGCTGAATTTCCAACCCTCACATGGGTTGGATCAGGAACCCATGTCTCAGAAATTTATATACTGCAATTC